GCATCATGACCCATTGATCCAATAAGTCTCAATAATTTCTAGTGCCAGGGTAACCATCTGAATCAGTGCATACTCAGTCTTTATCCTGCATCATATTCAGCACTATAATTAGTAGCATTATTCTAAAAACACCAGTTGACCGATCTGCGAGTAGTTAAGATGCATTACTGAAGTGCTAGTCGTGTTTAAATCAAAAAATATTCATAGGTATATATCTGAGAATCGACGCAAACATAATGTCTTATTTCTCACAAATTCAAAGATTTTCAGACAGAAACCAACAAGTTGTCAGAAGAGACATAAGATAGGACGTCAGTTGAACAATGGTAAGACAAAGGTGATGAGGATACCTAATTAACACCACGCATTGACTGCCTTCAAATGTGAGTCACCTCTCCTAATTATCTTGTCCACCTCGTTATAGCAACAGTTAGCATGGATTACGGTGACATAGCGGTCTGTATCGGAAAAACAAGACAAAGTGTCATAAATCTGAATCTATTGTGTGGAAAACTACTGCTCTCAGCACGGAGAACAAGATTCGGATTTCTGGAAGTAATATAAGGTCATTGGCTCCACATGTTTGAAGGACCTGATGAGTCATGGAAAGCGTTTCAAAACGGCTTCTGTATACTTTCATCAACACGTGCACTCACTTGATACTGATAACCAGATGACCAGAAATGAAACTTTGTGCATATATACTTAACTCCAATGGATTACTAGTCTACTTCCAACTCCCATTCTGTTGATCAGTTTCATTCCTGTGTGTTATCATTGGAGTATAGGGTATCAACCATTTAACTTTCATTAGCGATGATGATGGAACTGTTAGACACTGGTTCAACCTACGTTCATTTTCATACCAAATACCGAATTTCACACCTATATTTAGACAGTAGCAAAAATGCAAAGACCACAGCAGTGAGTGATAAGAAGATGGGTATGAAATGAACGGTCAGTAGTTGCAGATGACTAAGAAATCAGTTTGATGTCTCGAGAAACAACCTCTCTATATGGTCACATCTGCAAGAGGATAGTTGGTAAGTTGATAAGTAACGTCCAATCTGATAGGTGTACTAATTTCGGTCAATAGAGCTTCCAATCGAAACCATCGTGAAGTGTTCTGAATTCCTGTCGATTATCATTCTACTTCACACTGTCATTCTGGTTATCTGTTTGATTCATGTTCCTTCTGAATGGAATGTGAGGAATCAGGCGTTGAATTTTCGGTAGTGATGACATTGTTTCTGGATTCACGGTCTACTTCGCTTCTTTCCAGGATTACTGCCGATTAATAAACAATTCGAGGATTAGGAGTGGTTCGTTTGAGAATTGAATCTGGACATCACACGTGGCTGACACACTTTTCACTATTGAACCACCGACTCACCACTCTGATGTTATGTGCTTATAACTACGCAAGTCGGGATTCGAAGTATTTACACGTAGTCAGGGTTAATGTGATGTTGAATATATGGGAGTTATTAAATGAGACCTTGGTAAATTCCCAACTCTCATTGACAATTTCGAAAAATGACCAGTTGGTTTTCGTTTATAATGGATTCATTGAATTGGTGACGCTGAAATAAAATGTGTGAATCATTCCTTTTCCCGTTTGAATCATTACGGCTTCACAGCTGATTGACTCCACCTAACTTAAGCGAAGCGATTTCTCGCTGGTTAGTTCACCTGATTTGAATTGACAGCACTCCCGAGAAAATGTAGCCTTCAACCATACACATTCAGCAGCATTATATACTATCTGGCATGAACAACATTTTCGTGAAGATAGAAAATCGGTAGAAATTGGAATCCACTAGTCGCTTTAGGCACGAAGATTTCATATTAACTATTTCGCTGAAATGTCTATCGTTCTTCGTTCTCACCATTCACAAAATTAAATAGAGTCCTTCATTGACGAGTACACCACTCTCCTATACAGTAAATGTACATGAAGTCATCATTGAAAAGTCATTGATGGGTATTTATAATTATGACCACAGTATTGTTTCTCCTTAGAAAATATCTGGTATTTCGAAATGCGTTCAAATGTCTTTCAATCATCAGGCAGGCGCTTCCACCTGATATTAATTTGCAATTGGAACGTATTTCACTGAAGTACATATGTGTTATCTGATTGATACAAAGTTCTCTAGATAATGGAGAATATCCATCAGAACATTAGAGAGAAAAGAATAAGCAGTTCAGCAAAGATATCATTTCAGCGACTTCATTCTCCAAAGCTTCACACTAGCATTTATATACATAAGTTTACACAGATACAATTAATTATTCATCCCACATAATGATGAAGGAGACTAACGGTGACAAAAGTATTCAAACTAACGTGAAAGTGTTACATCCACACTTTCGAAATATCATATCAAAGTGAAAACTATTGTCACCTTTAATTACTTTCGTTATTATTCATATTTCTTAGAGAGCAACATTTAATTCACCGAATTAATTATTCTACATTTTAACTAATAAAAATGTAATGAAGCTAAATGTCATAATTATGCGTCAGTATTGATTCTGATGGTCACTCAGTGCCTGTTTGGACTGGTCAGCTACGACTGCTTGTCTGACTTGCTCAACAACACTTAGGCAAGAGAATTAGATACCTAATTCATCATACTGATGTAGTTGATTCTACTCGGACTTTTGACAATGAATACCCTTCTGTTTCATGGAGATATGCGTAACGAAATTCAACCTAATTTCAATGTTAGTCATTCGATGTTAGTCAATAATCGTAGATTCACGTCTATTTCTGTACGAATTAAGAGTAGGTCAGTTTAAGTTTGCATTTTGCCGTGAGACCTCCTGCACTATATGTGTGAAATTGGAGAACTGTGGAAGAAAATAATTACAAATTAGTCTGTTTATTAAATGTATCATACAGTGGAATAATATAAAATCCTAGGTGACTCTGCGACCACAATTTACTCTTCACAATCACATCAATTAGAATAACACGAAGTCGTGTCACTTGCAACACATAAACATAATTCCCAACACAATTTCAACGACAAATTGTGTAACAATCGTCAACACATGCTCACCCAGCACATCCAACCCACAAATGTATCTTACAAACACGGAATAAATTTATTATTTTTTCACAGTCAACGACAGTTTGATTGTCAGTGAACAATCAGTTCATCTGTGAAGCAGAGGACAGAACTGCCGTGTATGAAACAAAGGAAATAACCAATGGAGAAGGAAGTTATAACAAACACATTACCTAATTTAAATGTTGGTTATGACTAAGGTGAATGGAGATCAAAGGCATGTTGGCTTGTTAGTGAACAAGAGTGAAACATTTAAATGTAAATTCGAAATCGTCTGAGGTGAAGTGAAAGTGTTGGTCATTAGCAAGAGACTATTGAATGCTATTGAATGTTTTTCCTTGAGCATTGGTCGTAGTCAGAATACGTGCACAGTCTCACTTCAAATAATGTTTCAATCAACCGAGATATCTGCAGCTCATGGAAGAGGATGAAATTAGGTGGTCAATGTATGGACAAGTGGCTTAGGTTGTTCAGTACTCAGTATCTCTTCCACATTCAGCCGATCCAATCTCTCACAGAAACTAGTCTGCGTTAACAGAACTCATAAACGACAATCGGATTGTGGTTGTTCAACCTGACGACAGATTAGTGAGATGAATCTGTGGCTTGACCATACTCCATGAAACAAAAGTAAGCTTCTAGTGACCACATACAAGAAAGTAGAGAGGATGGAATGATGAGAGATTGAACACACGATGGACTAATAACGGACAACCAAGGAGACGAAAGCACCATGTACTAACGAGATGTATTCTATCTAGCATACATTACACTTACTACAACATTTATCACTGAGTAACGCAATAGCCTCATCAATTTACATCGAAATCTTGTATACTTGAGTGTTTTACTTGGATGTTCACATTGTTATGGAATATCAAGATGTATGTGATCATTCCTAATCTGGAAATCATATTTAATTTGCATAAGCGCCTATGTAGCATCCCAGTGAGTGATGTGAATTCTTTCAAACCACTCATCCTAATCAGTCAGCACTGTATAGCGTCATGCATTGATGCCTGCATTCCTGACCGTCATTCATGGTACCAAGCAGATCAGATATTGTGATCTCAATGATTCTGGATTTCGAAGTGAACGGTGATGAAATTTCACCTGGAAATGTGTAGATTGCGAAACGCCAATAAATCTGCAGCTTGAGAACTTAATTTACCGTATTAGCAGTCCGCACAAGTATCCAGCCATAAATCCGGGTATTTCAGCTGATTCGGCATTTCGAGCTGAATTGAAGGCAAGTACAGCGGCCACAAGTAGGCGTAATGGATCTCCAATATATGAATCACTTCGATCCGGCTGACAACCACTACTGGGTTACGTAGGTGGTACGCAACTACTCACATCAACCGATCACTAATAGACATATATATATTATATATATATAGGCTCATGAAGGCATCCTAATCCTGAAATTCGCATTCATACATCTATCAGATATATGACACAGTGGAACAGTATCACTTACTACACCAGTTTTCGAACACAATCTATTGCATGCAATCTAGCAACAATCAACTGTGGAAGACACTTCGTCATTCAGTGATTAACACACTTTCAATGTGTGATGAATCCTTTGGACAAATTAACACGCAATTACATACTACCAAAGTGTCCATGTTTCGCACATGTACGCACACAAGTCTCTATGAAGTGTAGAGTGCAAGGAACGATAAAAGTCAAGAGAGCGATTATCAACAAACTTTGTTTATTTCTAATAAAAATTAATTTCAGTTGAATTGAACACACCTAAAACGAATATGCTACAAATATCAATTGAACACAAGGCAAGAAATGTTCCAATTTGTCAAAGTGTTTGTGCAAGCTGAATTCACACGGCACTGATTGATTTTCACTTCCACATTTGTATTCATGAACAATGCAATCAATATTTCGAGTATTGATGCTTACCACCATGGTAACCACCATAGTAGTTGTTCTTATATCCAGGATATTTACCATGGTAATTTTTGTCATATCCCTTATTATAACCGTGATCGTACCCTTTATGATAACCATATTTGCCACCGCCGTAATAGTGTTTTCCGTATTTATGACCCTTAGAATATTTACCATAACCATGATGGCCGCCGTATTTAGGATAATAATAATCTTTGTATCCGCCCTTGTGAGAATGATAAACGCCATGATAACCATAGTGGGAACCATAACTGTGTTGATAACCATGATGAGGATTTTTGTAATAACCGGAGTGATAACCATAGTGGGGATCGATATAGTCGTCGCCATACGAACCATGAAGCAATTTTGGTTGAGAAGTTACAGCTGTGCCATTATCACCACTGTCAGAGGGAGATACAGTCACATTGGCAGGATTTCCGTCATCAGTGGTTCTCTCTTGTGTTTGATTTGAATCCTCTCCCGATGTAACGTGTAAGGTTCCATTGGCGTCTGAAGATTTGCCAGCCAAGCGTGTAATGAAGAAAAAACAGAAGTTAATACACACACACATAACAATAACTGTGCTCAATGACATTAGACTACACTGAATGAATGGCCATAAACAGACGGATATGCCTAGCACAAAACAAACAACATATAGTCATCCATTTTGACGTGTGGCTGACAGCCACTTGACAGAAAAGTGCTGACGACAAATTCCATCTGAACTGGTCTGACACAGACAAAGTGGATGCTCGCGATTTCTGCATCGATGAAAGAGGCATATAAGACATTCTGATGAATAACTGGTAACAGCCGGAAAAAAATCACGAAGTCGAATATAGAGGACATTCTGACACTGAATAAATGAATGGTCGTAATGAATCAAGAGATTCACGAATTGATAAGCCGAGGAAACGGTGTTTCAGGGCCATCGATATCACAAGGACAATGAGAGGACAAAATGCGTTGTGCATAACATCGCCAATCAATTCAAAATTACCTTCCGGCTGATGCATATATATATATATATGTACATAAAATTATAAATCGTTGATGCCCATGAGGCAAACCTACCTTCACCACTTAAACTGAGAGGTACTGGTTCGGCCAGAAGGAACTTGCAGCAGAACAAGGTGAGAAGGATAGTGATAGCCAGCCTCATTGTGATCCTAAAGGCAAGATAAATGGAGAGAGGATTTACAGTGAAAGAGGATATTCAATGACATAGTACGAATTGAAGCGGTTCAGTATTGGGACAGAGTGTGGAGAATTCATGCACTTACTCAGTCAAATAGTCGTCCTCGGATTTTCGAAACTGATGTCAAACTCAGCTGATACACGAGGAAATTCTCATGCATTTCTAAAACGTGCATCTCTTTATATATACACACACAAGTCAGGGCGAGTGAATGAAGCAATGCAGTAGAGTGTCACGTACTAATGTCACCAACCACATATAAGTCACAAATGTATTCATCATGCAGTTCAAGTGTGATTCAAGCAGTGAGTGACATTTGAACTTGACATGCTCATGAAAAAGAAACAAAGATTGAATCATCACTTCACGTACAGAGATTTCTATACACATGTAAACAAATAAACAGCGGAAATCACTAATGTGTTGTAATGTCGTGACAGAGTATCACTGCAAATGAGCGTGATGTGAGGTCAATTCGACGCATGGATTTACTCTCATTTCACTGCAACACAGAACTTATTTACAAGCATCCATTCAAACTATCAGATGCAGCACATCAGCGTGGCCCGATCAACACAAATGGGGATTTAGGAGAAGATCCAGTGAAGAGAGTTTCGCTCACTGACGGTGTCATATTCCGATGGCTGCATAATTGCATTGTTATTTACTGGAAGACGTCCTGTAGTCTATAATTGGATGGTAGAGGCGGCGGAGGAATGTAATTGATACAGTCACTCTGATAGGATTTCTGAAGATACGTGAGATTAAAACACACGCCTAACTCAGACAATTAGATGACAAGAGGATTTGACCAAGGAATAAACAACGACACAGTGGGATTAGGGCTACGAAATTTGATAATATGCGAAATGTCATTCAATGAGAAGGAAGCCAGTGGTTGAGTGTCCACATGATTAGTGTGAGGAAGGTGAGAGTAGATAAAACTTAGTGGAATGTAGAGAATGGATATGTGAGTGGGATAGTAGTGAAGTAAATACTGGAAGTAGAAGCGAACGAATGGGGAGGAGTTTAGGACTGTGGTAGGATATGTGACTTAACAAACTCTTTCTGCAATCATATTACTGACAAACAATGTCGAATCGCTAGTGTGGTCGTCAGACACGTGTGACGAAACACCATGCTTCTTGTAGAATTCGTCTATACGTTGCGAGTAATTTTAAGAGTCGACACCAGTAGAGTTACGTGACCTGGATTCAACAGGTGCTTGCCAACTGAACTAGTAATTGTCTGAGATCGCAATCCTGGTTATCATGCTGAGTGGTGTTTGGAGATGAGCATGTGGGTGCGATATCAGTAGTTTCACAGGGAAAAGTGAATTTATCAACAAAATGTGGATTGGCTCGATGAAGCAGTTTCTGTTACATCATTTCTGATTGCCACACTGGTAGAGTTATGATTCTAAACTGTCGTTGAATGAAATTTATTCTCGATTTTCTAGATGAAGTTGGGACGACGTTTTATTCATCAACTAGACTAGTGTTGTTTGCTAAGAATCGACAATTGGAGCATTAGTAAACTGGGCATTGATACACTGACTGTATGAGTTTGAAGTAGCCGGAATACTGTAATCCATCAATTTCCTACGAGCTGACAATTATACTATTCATGGGATGTTTTGTAGTTTGTGTCTCTCACGTCCCTGACTGATTCGAGCTTACATTGCTGTGTGAACCTCATAATTCGGCCATCGACTGGTGTTTATGTTAGTCTGCATATAGTGTATGATTACTTCATTCCTGACGCTAATGCACAGAGCGCATGCATGTTTTCTCTAATTTTACAACGTACTTTAGTTAGTCTCTCTTTTGCTGTCTTTCTGCACTTCGACGAACGTGTTGATGTTCTTCTCGTAAATTGCCTGAGCCCATTTTCTGCTTCCACCAAATGTCACATTCGTCCACCCATTTATCTACCCTATTATTTGTGATTACGGCATACTCTGGCATATCCGCCATGAGCCAATATTATGTTTCATTTCTTAGGCAGAATGAAAATGTTTCAGTATTACTCTTCAAGGATTTTTTGTGGGGTTTTCGAATTGCTTTGGACAATGTTGTGATCATTGTGTCTTCATTTCATTCCTCTTTTCGAGACTGTTTAGTCTCCATTCTATTCCTATGTAAACACTTTTATGTTGACAAGAATTCTTACTATGTCTCTTTTCTGTTAGGTTGTTCAGAAAGTGTGACTTGCTGCCTAACCAATCTATGTTTCTCAATTGAAAACTTTATTCATTTACAATGTACATAATGATTCAGAAACTGCTGTTACTACACTCAGATTTTCACTCCAGTTTCAATCATCATCCATTGGATCGTTGAAATTCTGCCAATTCTTGGCTATCTCAGATTTTCCCACCAGAAAATAATCGATTTACAATGTCGCATTCTTGACCACCATCTCACAGATGCCTGGTTCTTTGAACTGTCACACTACGATTAATTACTAGCGTTGACAGCGTCTGCAGCTATCAAGCCACTGTCCCACTCTGGTTTTACTACTGGCTGTAACTGTCAGCTGAAGTCTTAAGAAGACAACTAGTAACATAATAATGAAGTCAGAACTACACTTCACTTATCCTAGTGACAGCCTATCATCAACCATGATGATTGCGGTGAAATAGCACGATGTTCCTCTGTTGGATCCAGGAGCTTGGCTGGTGGTTTGTCAGGCTGGTTTACATTCATTTTCAGACGAATTATTCATTTATCAAACGTACCACGAAAGAGAGATTGTACACTAACTGTAAATTAGGAAGGATATTTACGTGTTTATGATTGCTTCTGCCTGAATATTAATAAAAATTTAGATGAAGTCTGATCCAAACACGCATTTTCCGCTCAGATGGAACCAAACCGGTCCTTAGTGAATTCGCCGAGTCGAAATAAACAGGCGTGGGCCAATGCAGCTATTGTTGATAAATTCACTTGACCCTGTGAAACTATTTATATTTATTTATAATCATATTCTATGTGCATAAGTGTCAGGAAATGAGTAATCATACACTATATGCAGACTAACATAAACACCAGTCGATGGCCGAATAATGAGGTTCACACAGCAATGTAAGCTCGAATCAGTCAGGGACGTGAGAGACACAAACTACAAAACATCCCATGAATAGTATGATTGTCAGCTCGTAGGAAATTGATGGATTTCATTATTCCAACTACTTCAAACTCATACAGTCAGTGTATCAATGCCCAGTTTACTGATGCTCCAATTGTCGATTCTTAGCAAACAACACTAGTCTAGTTGATGAATAAAACGTCGTCCTAACTTCATCTAGAAAATCGAGAATAAATTTCATTCAACGACAGTTTAGAATCATAACTCTACCAGTGTGGCAATCAGAAATGATGTAACAGAAACTGCTTCATCGAGCCAATCCACCTCTTGTTGATAAATTCACTTTTCCCTGTGAAACTACTGATATCGCACCCACATGCTCATCTCCAAACACCACTCAGCATGATAACCAGGATTGCGATCTCAGACAATTACTAGTTCAGTTGGCAAGCACCTGTTGAATCCAGGTCACGTAACTCTACTGGTGTCGACTCTTAAAATTACTCGCAATGTATAGTCGAATTCTACAAGAAGCATGGTGTTTCGTCACACGTGTCTGACGACCACACTAGCGATTCGACATTGTTTGTCAGTAATATGATTGCAGAAAGAGTTTGTTAAGTCACATATCCTACCACAGTCCTAAACTCCTCCCCATTCGTTCGCTTCTACTTCCAGTATTTACTTCACTACTATCCCACTCACATATCCTTTCTCTACATTCCACTAAGTTTTATCTACTCTCACCTTCCTCACACTAATCATGTGGACACTCAACCACTGGCTTCCTTCTCATTGAATGACATTTCGCATATTATCAAATTTCGTAGCCCTGATCCCACTGTGTCGTTGTTTATTCCTTGGTCAAATCCTCTTGTCATCTAACTGTCTGAGTTAGGCGTGTTTTTAATCTCACGTATCTTCAGAAATCCTATCAGAGTGACTGTATCAATTACATTCCTCCGCCGCCTCTACCATCCAATTATAGACTACAGGACGTCTTCCAGTAAATAATAATGCGATTATGCAGCCATCGGAATATGACACAGTCAGTGAGCGAAACTCTCTTCACTGAATTTTCTCCTAAATCCTCATTTGTGTTGATCAGGCCACGCTGATGTGCTGCATCTGATAGTTTGAATGGATGCTTGTAAATAAGTTCTGTGTTGCAGTGAAATGAGAGTAAATCCATGCGTCGAATTGACCTCACATCACGCTCATTTGCAGTGATACTCTGTCACGACATTACAACACATTAGTGATTTCCGCTGTTTATTTGTTTACATGTGTATAGACATCTCTGT